TTCCAATTCCATCTGTTTACCTGAAATTCTATTTTTTAATAGCTGACTAGAATCCGCTAGTGTATATATACCACGTTTTCATTACCCGTTCATCAGGTGATGGACATCTAGGCTGCTTCCATTCCCTCGCTATTGTGACGGCAGCTGCAGTGAACATGGCCAAGCAAGTATCTGTGGACCAGGATATTGAGTCCTTTGGGTGTATGCCAAGGAGCGGTATCGCTGGATCATATGATGGCTCTACTTTTAGCTTTTTGAGAATTCTTCACGCTGATTTCCATAGTAGCTGCACCTCTTCGCAATTTGCTGTCAGCTTGCTTTTCCTGATCTTAGCGGCTCTGACTGGGGTGAGAGGAAATCTCCAGCTAGGACCTTGTGTGCTCGGGCATTAGTTCCCCAACTTCACCAGTGGGAAATCCTAAAACAGAAAGCTCTGTACTGCAAAGGAAACAATCGAGCAAGGGAAGCAAAGGTCCACAGAATGAGGAGAATCTTCGTCAGCTGTTTTTCTACAGAGGGTTCACAGCCAGCGCACATAAGGCTCTTCAAAACTCAAGAAAACAAACAACCCAATATAAAAAGGGGCTATAGATCTGACAGAAAGCTCTCAAAGGAAATAAAATGGCTAAGAAATATTTTTAAAAACTGTTTAGCAACCTGATCAATCAGAGAGATGCAAATATTTTCTAATTTTAAAAGTAGTTATTTTGGTGGCTAGGGAGACAATCGTTAATTGTGCATGGGGACCTGAGTCCATACATGAGGGCCTAAGTCCATGCATGAAGACCCAGGCCTGTGTCCCCAGAACCCATGTTAAGCTGGCACTATGGTGAATCCCCAAAATCTCATCACTGGGGGTGGGCGGGCGAGTGATACAGAAGAACCCTGAGGTCTTGGCCAGTCAGTTTAGCCAGTCTGTGAGTTCCAGTTTCAGTGAGAGGCTCTGTCTCAAAAATAAGTTGAAGAATCAATGCGGGACCCTTGACTTTGACCTCTGACCTCCACATGCATATATGTATATGTGCCCATGCCACACAAACATACATATATTTTTATGTTTATATGCACACATATATTTGTATATCATGTGTATGTGTGCTGTGGATATCACTCTATATAAATAAAACACTGATGGCCAGTGACCAGACAGGAAGTATAGGTGGGACAAAGAGAGAAGAGAATTGAGGGAAACAGGAAGAAGGAGGAGGGGACACTGCAGCCACCGCCATGACAAGCAGCATGTAAAGACGCCGGTAAGCCACCAGCCACATGGCAAGGTATAGATTTACAAAAATGGGTTAATTTAAGATAAAAGAACAGTTAGCAAGAAGCCTGCCACAGCCATACAGTTTATAAATAATATAAGCATCTGAGTGATTATTTTATACGTGGATTGTGGGACTGCGGGGCTTGGTGGAACCTGGAGAGAAGCCCTCCAGCAACATATGTGCACTTTCTATATATCTATATCACTCTCTATATATATACTATATCTGCCCATGCAGCACACATATGCATACTCCATATATATGTGCATATGCAGACATGTTTATATGCACACATATATACAGATGTTCACTCACTATATCTATATAGTTCTCTATATGTATACTGTATCTGCCTATGCCACACACACATGCATATTCTCCATATATATGTGTCTGGGGAAGTTTGCTAGAGAAAGGAACTGCTGCAGTGACATGTAGGGTCACAAGTGGCCCTCAAAGAGGTGTTTGACCACATTTGCATACATGCTAAGGGTTCTTTGCTTGGGGGTGTCACTAGGGAGAGAGCCAAAACTATGCCTAGATTGGATGTCTCAATATTCGTCTCAGGCCCGTGTATATATGAGTCTGCTATGTGCAACATACCGAGCGTATCATTTTAGTTTTTGCAACTTTAAAGCAGAAGTGATTGCATTCAGTCCAAAGCGTTAGGTTTTGTGGGTAGTAAAAGAGATCATTGATGTCCCAGGCCTCAGTAATCTCCCCGAGCTACAGCAGCTCTGTGTGGCTGTTATTCCTTCCCCTATGTTTGTTATTATTACCCTCCAAACTTCAAGGGCATTCGCCTCAGGACTATGTGGTTCAATGTTTGCATGAGTTCTGGAAGAAATGAAGATATGACCGAAGTCCAAATAGACACCACCACCTAGGAGCTGGGGATGGGGGCCTGAGCTATTTATAGGCCCAAGTGTTTCCTTGAACTCAGACATCCCCACATGTAAATTATGCAGTCTGTGTCACAGTGGAGCCCTCTGTGTTCCTAAAAAGAATCCTCCTTTTTCCCGGAATCTTTTACCTTTAAAAATAAATCTCATTATGGAGTGCTGACATTTTCAGTAAAACCATTCAACCAAAAGCTGCAGGTTTTTCTTCTCTCAGACTTAAAACAAGTGTGGTTTATTAGGCAGCCATGTATAACACACTGCTAAGTAGATAAGGTCTATTTAGAGAGGTTTATGTAGATAGCGGACAGGCCGTCCCAGTCTTTCCTAAGACAGAACATGTTAAGTGGACTATCAAGAATCATCTCTCAGGAGAGGAGAAGTTCAATGTTGCTGTTTAGAGTGGGTGGGAACCACAGAACCTGACTTCAGTAAGACCACTCGTATTTGAGGCTGCTTCTTTCCACCATACTGTAACTGTGACTTAACTTTCTAGCAGAATGACTGTAGATATTACCTCCTTCGAGGGGTTGTGGGCAGATGGACCACTAATACATGTAAATGCACAATGGCTGTAGCACACTGGGGTCCCAGTCAATGCCGACGTCTCCTGGGGTTCCTTTTCTTTTTTTATTTCATCCCTAAAGAGAAGTTTCTTCTTTCATGCTTTTCCAGTTCCCCCTCCCATGGATGTAACTTTATTTTCACTTACCCATCTTTATACCACAAAGAAGATGGCATATATATTCAGTTCCCCAAAGCCCCTTAGTGACCTATGTCCACAATCAGTGCTCATCACTGAGAAGTTTAGAACCCCAATGGAGTCACTTCCCATACTCCGCCACCAGAATAGTGAGGTAAGTATTGTGTCCATTTTACAGACAAGTTACTAAAGCCCAAAAGAAGTTTAAAACTCTATAATCATACAGGATTATTAAATGATACAAATTCATCTTTCCATTCACATAGTAATTTTCTCCAAAGGATTCAAAATCACCATTGACATCCATTTATTTGCTCAGACACATATGTTTTTATTTCATAAACACATACACATTTCCTCATACATTTTCATACAAATAGGGTTGATAACCCATACTTGAACTAGGCCACTTTCTGTAAGCAGTATTTATTCTGCATGGTAGTGTCCTTATGGTACCCACTGCTAAACAGTTTGTATATTATTCCTTCTTAGAAATTATGTAGATTAAAGAAACCATACAATGAAGATAGTCAGACTCAAAGGCTAGACCACTTGATGAACTTCCATACAGCGGAAGCTGCCATTCAGAATGGAAGCCATGGAACTTCACATTGGCCTTTATACTTTCACTATCAAAGATATTTATGTAATTAAAATAAAATCACATGTAATTATAATTATGTAATAAAATACAATACATTTGCAATATGTTTATAATGAATGTAAAATTAAAAACGAATTATGTAGATCTATGCAGGAAGAGAAAGGGTGAAGCCACTTCTAGACAGCCTAATGAGGCAATGGGCTTATAAAGTAGCTTAAGAAACCCATGGATTTGAACTGTGACTAGGACACTGAGTGTTCTCTCTGCTGTAAGATGAATGACTCTAGACTGTATAGAAATGGGTAATTTGTATTAGGAGCCTTGGGTTTAACCCTAAGTTAAAGGGGAATTGTGCAGCAAAGTGGAGGAAGTAATGCCATTCGGTCTACATCTTAAGAACTGCACCATGGCTACTGCTCAGGAAATGGGTGGGGGCAAGGTGTCCATAACCCTCAACCACTAGACTGATTACATGTGGCCAGAATTCTAACATGAACTGGTCACGAAACAAACAGGTCAATCTTTTAGTAAAAAGCACACACTAAATTCTAACAAGTCATAAAGTCTTTTAAAAATGTATTTATTTTATATATGTGCATATTTTGGCAGCCTGCTTATATATGCACCATGTATATGCCTGGTGCTCACGGGGGCCAGAAGAGGGAGGTGGATCTCCTAGAACTGGAATCACAGATGGTTGTGAACCATCATGTGGATGCTGGGAATCACACCCTGGTCCTCTGAAAGAGTAGCCAGTGCTCTTAACTGCTGAGCCATTTTGCCAGCCCCATAAGTCATGAAGTCTTACATCCTGAAGGATCTGCTATATTGACAAGAACTGCAGAATATAACTACTCCCTCCTAATTAGAAAGCACTGTTATATTTCCTTCCTGTTTTCTCTCAGAATTCTTAATTCACAGCCAAAACACTCCTCTTGTACCCCGAAAGTCTCTCACTTTGGGAGCGAATCCAATCGGTGAGCACTTACCAAGTGTCTGTTGCTCAGTTGCTTGGCTATCTCTTCCCCAGATGGATGTGATTGCTTGGGTCATGGTGATCCTCATTTAACTCTCTTTCATCTCCACCTAGCAAACGGTTCCTGGAGATCGGTGTAAGCTAGTTGGCAGTGAGAGGACTTTGTAGTGCAGCCTCAGTTAGGACAGTGACATTCCTGGTATCCTGGAGGAGGATATCCTACTGCTCCTCCATGAAGGTTTCCTGGAGAGCTGGGAGAGTTAGGAAGTACAAATTGGTTGGAGGTCAAGATGATGCAGACTTGGGTTTCCTCAAATGGGTTTATCTAAGGGGGAAGCATCTTGAGCTCTGTGGTCCTTGGACATTTATTTCCATGGCTTCTTTAGTCTTCCCTCATCTCTCACACCCGGGGCAGATTGGCAGACAAAGGGTGGCAGTAGGTACTTCTCAGCCCCCTTTTCTGTGCAGGGCCTGATGTCTTAGTGAATGCTGTTATTTCTGTTTAAGAGGCCTGGTAATCATTGCTTCTGCCCTGTGGTTGTTCCTCCAGGATTGACCACTGGAACAACGAGAAGGAGAAGGTCCTGCTGCTCACGGACAAGACCCTCTTGATCTGCAAATATGACTTCATCATGCTTAGCTGTGTGCAGATGCAGCAGATCCCCCTGAGTGCCATCTGTCGCCTCTGCCTGGGCAAGTTTGTCTTCCCGGGGATGTCTCTGGACAAGTGAGTAAGATGCCTTGGACTTGGAGCAGCTGTGAAGCAAGGCAGACATATGCAAAGACATCAATAACATGGTCAATTGAGTAACATAAGCTGGAAGAAGCAGAGGAGAAGGGAAGTCCTACCACTAAGCTCATCAAAGTATCAAGTTAGCTTCTAATCTATGTTAAGCACCAGAGATGTGATTTTTAAGCAAATTGGTAATTTAGAACGAGAACCTAATAGCTAAATGTATTTAGGTAGGGAGAGCTATGAGAATATAGAGGAAAAGTTCCTACACAGTTCATATGGCAAACAATCAGAGAAGGTTTCCCTGGAGAAGCACTTAAGTTCGTATTTGTTGTTGAGCAGGAGCTATCCAGGCAGGCAGAATGGTACTCCAAGCAGAGGAACAGCATAGCCCCAAAGAGTAAGGCAGGGTCTGGGGCATTTGATATGGTTGGGTATTCAAGTTGTTCTGTAAAACCAGAGGACAGACCTCCCCATAGTCAGGAGCTGTGTAGTTTTTCAAACTCCTCCCGGGAGCTCAACAGCTGCAGATCATGAACAAGGGACTGGGTGAGGTCTGCAGAGGAGGAGTGTTGACCTGGGAGCATTGTTGGGTAGCCATCTTCATCAAAGGCTGAAGGTGAGCTCTTCTCATAGAACGGTCAGCTTACAGAAGGTCGACATCATTTGTTGTTGTTGTCCACTAAGCACCTGGCATTGGGCTTGGCAGGTTTTCAGATCTGAGAACTCAAGCACCTTGAATGAGCATATCGGTTTCCTCACCAAAGCTTACCATATATCAAAGAGCTGTGTTTCATTTGCTCTTTTCATGGAAACAAGAAGTAACCAACTCATTTAGTTCATTAACTTTTAGAACAAGTAGGTTTTTCAACCATGTGTACACGTGTAAAATATATTTAGATGTCACAAAATATTTATTTTTAAGACCTCTGTTTTCCACTCCTGGAGACCCTCTATCCAACATTCTTTACACAGACACCGGCAATTTATTGCTTACTTTTGAAGACATTGCCTGCAGACACAAAATAGCAGTCTCTGTGTGTACATCTTTAAAACTCGACACACCTGCAGAGCAGTTCTAGCCTCTGTTACTGCAGAGTGCTCCTATTTAAACCTGCTTAGCTGGCTTCTCACCGACGGCTGACGGACAGCCACGTTTGCCCTAGCTATGACCAACTGTGCTCCCGTAAACAGTCTTGCTTGTGGGGCTTCGCATAAATGTGCAAATACACCTGTAACCTAGAGTTCCAGGAGTGGAATTTGTTATGTTAAAGTCATGTGAATCTTGACTCACAGAGATAGTCAAATGCCCACCATATAAGATGTAAATGTTGATGCAAGAGGGTATCCTTTGATACCTAATCTCACTAACATTGTGTAATGAAACTTTCTTACTTTGCCAGTCAGCTAGATTAAAGAATTTTTTTTTGTTTAATTTACATCAGGAGAATGTGAAGGGAGTAAATTTTTCTATAAAATGCCCCCTTTTTGACAAGACCAAGTATTTGTCCTTTTGGAGTTGTTAGAGATGCTTATGTGTCAGAGAATATCATCTCTTTCTTTTTTTTGGGGGGGGGGAGTTTATTTATTTATTTATTTATTTATTTGAGACAGGGTTTCTCTGTGTAGTTTTGGTGCCTGTCCTGGATCTTGCTCTGTAGACCAGGCTGGCCTTAAACTCACAGAGAGCCACCTGGCTTTGGCTCCCGAGTGCGGGGATTAAATGCGTGCGCCACCACTGCCTGGCCAAGAATATCATCTGTTTTCTGTTCTGCATGTTGGATGCATTTCATCCTAGTGTGTCACCGCACTTAGAACTTTATAATGTTATTTTATGGCCTTTGCTTCCTAAGTGTCAGAGCTATCATTCTTTCAGGGTTTGGAAATTTTCAAGGGAGATATTATCTGTAATGGAATTATAATATCCATTTCCATGTTTTGAGCTCATAATTTAATTTCTAAACATGGTCAAGTTGCTATTTCATCTGAAATTTGCTTGAGTAGGGCAATAGAGTGTCAACCGGCTAACATTCTCTACATCATTTATTCAACATTCCACCTTTCCCTACTGATTTGAAATGTACCTGCATGGTGTATTGCCTTCCTCACACATCTCTGGGTATTTCCACAGTTTTTAGTCCATTCTGCTCATCAAAGCACAGTACAGTTTTAGTTATTCTATTGAACTCTGTGCTGACATGCACGGGGTACATTAGTCTGTCATTTGTTACTTTGGTGTTGTTACAGTTTAATATGTGCATTGTGCTGTCCTCGTACAACAGGTTGAGAAATATTTTATCCTTTATTTTGTAGAAAATTTAATCTCTGTCTTGAAAGTTTGATCACATTAACATGGGAAATCTTGACATGACGAGGTGGACTAGTTTCTGAAATAAAATTATTTCACGAATGTTATATAATTACACTTTCTTTGATTTACTTTAACTTTAGTGAACTTTGTTTTTCAAGAAATGTCTTAAGCATATTTGGGCTTGTTGTATTTGAAGGTATAAAGTTACTAACAATATTCCTCATTTGCCCTTTGACATCAGTAAGACATGTTAGTAATGTTTTCACTTCTTGCTAAGGGTGGTTTGTGTCTTCTGTGTTTCCTACTCATCTATGAACTTAGCTTTAGAAAGACACGTCTTTTGTCCCCCTTTGCTGCAATCCCTATTGCTTGGTTACTAGTTACTGAATTCTGCTCTTTTTTTCTACAATGTCTTTCACCTGTCTATTTGGGGCTAACTTTTCTATAACTGATTACAGAAAAAAACCAAGGTTATTATGCAAGATTTCTCATGTTTTCTCCTATAAGCATTCAAAGTTATCCTTTTAACTATTGTTTTTGGTGCCTCACATAAATTGAAATGTGCTGTATTTCTATTTTCATTTTGAGGTATTGTCTAATTATTTTTCTTGTGATTTCTTTCTGAATCCATAAATACTTTACAAGTTGTACCAGCTGATTTGTTTCTAAATATCTTTATATTACTGAATTTTCATTTAGAGAACCTATATCTTTACATTAAGAACTATTATTTATTTTATATGATGGATATTTTTTCTGCATGTACATTGTGCACCATGTGCCTGCCAGGTGCTTGTGGAGGCCAGAAAAAAGACAGCAAATTCCCCTGGATCTGGAGCCCCAGATTCTTCTGAGTTGCCATGTGGGTGCCGGAAATCAAACCCATGTTTTCTGTAAGAGTATCCACTGCTTGTAACCACTGAGCCATCTCTCCAGCCTCAAGAACTCATGTCTTTCATTTAAGACCTTATGAATATATTGAGATTTATTTTATGGACTAAACTGCTATATATCTTCTTGACAGCACCAATTTTTTGCTTAAGTTGGCTGGCACATGAATTAGGATACTGTATTTGATAATGTTAATGTAGCTATCTACAACGTGACTGAATTTTATCCAGTTTTACAACAGTTAGTTTTATTAGTCGTTTTTAGCGTATCTGTGATGAAATACCTTAGAAAACCAGTTACAGAACAGAAGCATTCACTTTGGTTCACAGTTCCAGAGATTTCAGTCCAAGTTCTCTTGGACTGATATGCTGGAACATCTGTCAGCTCTGGGAGCATGTGGAGGATGTAGTTCATTTCATGAGGGACAGGAGCCAGACACAGAGAGAGAGCCAATGACTAAGGGCAGACCCTCATAGTTCTCTTCCTCCAGCTAGCCCCGCCCCCTAAACTAGTGCCACTCTTTAGGGACCAAGTGTTTAATATATGGGCTTTTGGGCCATTTCAGACACAAACCATGACAGCCTGGAAGAGAAATGTTAACGTTTGTCATTGTGTAACTGAGTTCTTTCTTTAGTTTTGTTGATTTTTGCTTCATGTGTTTTTTTGGATGTGTTCTATTAGATACATATATACAATGATAAGCATATTTTTCTGATAAGACGAGCTTTGTTTCATTATTCAATTTTCCCCTGTAAAAATATTTTCCTAGAAAGTAATCAAATTTGTGTGTCTGTAAAAGTTTTTTACTTTCATTATTTTTTAAAAAATAAGTGTTTTTTGAATATGAGGGGTTTTTTCCCCTTAAAGTATGAGTTTATGTGTACCACATGCCTGTAGGTACCTCAGGGGACCAAAAGAGGGCATCAAACCCCTTGGAACTAGAGTTACAAAAGGTAGTGAGCCACCTTATGTGGGTGCTGGGAACTGAACCTGGATCCTCTACGAGAAGGGTAAGTGCTCTTAAATGCTGAGCGACTCTCCAGCTTCTCAGTGTTCCTCTTTATCCTTGGCAATGGCCAGTGTTTTAACGATCTGTTTTAAATCTGATATTAGCCAGGCGGTGGTGGTGCACACCTTTAATCCCAGCACTCGGGAGGCAGAGCCAGGCAGATCTCTGTGAGTTTGAGGCCAGCATGGGCTACCAAGTAAGTTCCAGGAAAGGCGCAAAGCTACACAAGGGAAACCCTGTCTCAAAAAACAAACAAACAAAAAATGTTAAATCTGATATTATTTTATCACCTCCATCATTTTTATACCTAACTTCCCCCATAGAATATCACTCTCCATCCTTTCGCCTCTACTTAGTAATCCTCTGTATTTACTGTGTGTTCCTTGCCACAGTCCCATAGGTCACACAGTTAATCCATTTGGATCATACTTGCCTTTTAATTGGAATGGTTACTCTTTTCACATTTTTGTGATTTTTGATACGATCAGCTACCTGCTACTTGCTCTCTATTTTTTCCTTTTATTTTTGGTTCCTTTGTTCTTTTTCTGCTCACATTTTGATTAAATATTTATCATAATCAGATTTTGGTCCATCCATTGGCTTTCATGTATAGTATGTGTTGTGGCTGCTTTGTGGCAGAGTTCATCAATCTTAACATTATTGATGGTTTGGAAAGGAGAATTATTATTTCTGCGAAGCTGTTTGGTCTTGTGTAGAGTGTTCAGCAGTATTCCTGGACTCTACATCTCTACCTACCACCAGCCACTAGTGATCACTCAGGGT